CTAAATGTTTCCACCTCTGCGAGCAATTCAATCGGAAAAGTGAGCGATGAAGTTGTGAGAGTTGTGTTTGTTCAGGGTTTCGGGAAAAGACGCTGACCAAAGGAAAGAGGGTGGGAATTTTGGAGACTGGTAAACGCCGTCGGGGGAGGACAGAGATGGGAAAACGCGGTGCCACGTAGACAGTGCTAGCTGGGTTTGAGGACTGGGGGCCACTTGACAACGACATCTCTGGGGCTTTTCGGTTTGTCTGAAGAGGCGCGCAGATTCTTAAGCGTACGCCCCACGCCCCCGCGCAAAAGATCCTTACGAATACTGTTCTTACTCAGTTGAGCTGCTCGGCTGGAAGTAAAGATAACGCAGGCACTTCAACCGTTTGTTAAGACTATTGTTAATTAGGCATAATTCTACTATTTTTGTAATTTCTAAGAGAGATCAGGTTATAGAAAAATATGATCGCGATGACACAAAGTTATAACTTCTTCCTAGTATAAATTACTTAGTAATCTTAAAAGTAAGTCGCCTAAGCAAAACTCAACATTCAATTTAAAAAACAACTCACAGTCCATGTTATTGTAGATTCGTAATTCATAAGAGCATCATTATTGATGTGCTTGTAGGAATGATTGCACAGATGACATGATTAGAGTGCGTAGCTAAAGACTTTCTTGTCTAAGTGAGAGTGTCCATCAGACTGCGCCGACAAAGATTTTATGATTAAAGTTAAAATATCATGCGTCATTATAATAACATAAATGTGACACATGTTAAAATTTAATGATTAGTTTTTGTTTCTTGAACATACCAAATGCATGTCACGGAATAAAAGATCCCAAAATTGCATCAACGGTTAGACAATTATTAACAACTGATCGTAAAGTGTGTTAAATTCCACCTACATGATGGGGTGTGGGCAATTAAGGTAGCACCAAAAATCATGCATGACAAAAGAAGACAGTTGCCCAAGTGACACATTGTGAATAGCGTCCAAGTATAGTCAAATTAGAAACAAACTTTACTCTGGACATTTGTTCACAGGTTGGCTACAACAGCCAGGCACTCTCTAGCTTGAAGCAACAAAGGGCGAATAATATTAGTTCGGTTGGATTAAATTGGTGGATGTGAAACATCTGAAAGAGAAAGAGGAACCTGATGAGGGGGGCTCTGTTAGAGCAAGTCCACCCTTGCTTGAAAACCGGGCAAAAGGTAGCCCGGGGGGAAAGAAGTAGCTCCAGCGCGCAAAGGCCAGCCCTGGCAAGAGCTGGGTCCCACGAGCCCAGGCAAGCCCACGGGCAAATTCAGCCCGAGCTGCTGCCAGGGCAAACCGATGCAATGCTGACATCATAATGACGTCAGCAACCAAAAAAAAAAGGAAAAAAAAAAACCAAAAATTCCAGAATTTGTTTAAATAAATACCTAGACATATTATTTACTTCCCACACCAAAAACTATATACAAATTCATCTCCTCATATCTCATATGAATAGTATTTGCCTTAGACTTGCCCTAGACTTAGCTCTCATGGGTGAAACCACAAATGCAAAGACTGATACTATTCACGTGAATAGTGGCAGCCCTTGCTTGCCTTTGCCTTAGACTTAGTGAGTGGAAGTGCTCTTATCAAATTGAAAAAAATGGCATGCGTCTGCTGAGACAAAATAAAGAGATGATTTATATGCTGTGAAAACAAACCAGAGGTCAAGGAGATGAGAATTCATCATCATCTTCATCTTTTCACTATTGCCACGTCACCATATGCCTGGCCGTACATAAGTTGTTGGAGAAAGATTCATTACAGTACTGACAATGAGGAACAAAAAAAAACCATTTGATTGTGCGCGCCATCATGCACCCAAGGCAGCCCAAATTAAGATGATATTTGGGCGAGTGATCTATTTTCAATAAGATATGATTATTATAATTATTTCAATTTATGAAAAATTATGTGAATTTCATGTTAAATTATCCAAACCAGAAAATAAATTTTAAACATATGATTGCATAGGTGGGCCATCAGCTCCCAAGGCAGCCCATATTAAGATGACGTATAGGATAGAGTAGTTTTTGCATTGAATTATTAACATTTCCTCAGATTTTTTGTGTTTTCACAACAAAAAAATTCGATTGTTCGTTCCAAAATTAATGATTTCATTAAAAAAATACTTATACAAATGACAAAATTAACCTTAATGAATGTATATGCAATCTAATCTCAAAGGCAAATTCTGTATAAAATCATCAAATTTTGAACGAAAACTAATGAAATTGAGTTTTGTGAAAACATTTTTAAATCTTATGAGGTGTTTGTGTAATTTCTGAAATCTTATGGAGTTTTGTGAAAAAATTGAAAATCTCAGGAGATGTTAATGTAAATAACTCTTTTCATATTCCATTTTTAAATGTATGCACTTATAAAATTATAAAATATTTAATGCTAAGTGCACACAACTAAAAGAGGAGTGTCGGAGTACCTGGTTTATGTCAATGGGAGGGTCAGAGAGTACCTAGCTTATGTCAATGAGGAGTGTCGGAGTACCTGGCTTAGTGAAAAAATGTATTGATTTGCATACCGTTAGTACTCCCTCCCCTTTCTAGCTTTGGATGAAAAAAAATAAAATTACAAAAAAATTAATAATAAAAAAGTAGATAATAGATTGAACCCCAATGCATCATTTAAGTAAAGATAAGCTTCGCACTATCATTGTAGCATCTTTCAGAGTGTGTAGACTGATATTTAGGGTAATGTTGCGAAAATCACAAATTTACCCCATTCCCCATATAAAGAACAGTCTATGCTTAAATTTCTGATTTCACCCTTATCTCATATAAATAAAAACAGTGTAAGGATATTATATTTGCTTACATAGTGTAAATATGCAATATTTGTTGACGAAGCTACATTGAGTATAATCAGATAAATAGCCCTAGTGCTACAACCCAATATATTGACTATCTGGCACGGCTCTAAAAGACTTTGCATTAGGACGGACTTTCTTTAAACGTGAACAAGGCCATTGTCAGTAGGTGTCAAAATAACATAAAAACGAAGTTTATACATATCATTATCATGACATACATCTGCATAAGTTTTATATGCCAATTTGAGGATTTTCTCATTCATAAAGGTTGATGGGTTAATTTCTCTCTTATGTTTGAATTTCTCCTCCCGCAATTTCGCTCTTTTTTTATTGTTGCTATGATTTAGTTTTTAAAGACAATTGATAGATGTATATTACGAGATAAACTAAGAAAGTACGAAATATTAGCAACAGATAAATTGCTATTTCGAAATTTAAACTGGATAATAAGATTACCTAGAGATTTGGCTATAATAGCTGGCGCGAGCTAGGTGTGTTAGTTAGGCCGGGTTTATCCCAAACCTTAACCTAATGTGTTGATCTTGAGCTTGGTTGACATGACAAACTGGTCACATTTAGGTTGAACAGCAGTTGGAAACAACCACTAGAATCAACCCAAATTCACCTAAATTTCTCAACCTGAGTTACCAATCCAGTAAAAATAGCTTTGCAAAATATCATCGTCTGTCAAAGAAAATTTAAGTTGAGTTTGTTTGCAACCAAAGTAAAACACATATTCATGGAGTATATGTTGGTTTGAGCTTTAATTAGCACCCCACTTGTGACCTGTCAAATTCAAATATCAAACCCTTTTATAAGTAGAGTTGTTCGCATAATCCTCTTGACTTATGTGGGATCTTTCATTTCATCAATAATTGTTCGTAGACCAAGAAAAAAACATGTGAAAAACATGTTCGTAGACCAAGTAATTAAATTATTTCTTAGGGATATCCTAAACCCTATGCTTATGTTTATAAATTTTTGATATGTGACTTCTACATTAACTGGACAAGTTTTCCTTGATTGGAACCCTAAACACCATGTTTAGTGGAACTGGGATAAAATAGTAATATAGTAGGTTCTACGTCCAAATCTTATTATAATTGGAAACATTTTGAATAAAACATACAGAAACCATACACGATTTCTCAAAAGGATAATTTTCCTCTCTTTCATGATGAATATAATTTCCCTTTTTGTGTATATATATATGGGGCTCTTGGTGGCGGGCGAACTAAAGCCCACCCTTAAGTTTCCTCTCTTTCTTTCTTAATTTGTTGTAGAAAAAGCAATTTAAATTATAGAAAGCCAGATGGGCAACCTTTCCGAATAAAGTTATTGGTTCTTTTGGCAATCTGCTAGTTGTTTTTTTTTTGGGGATCAACAAATAAACTTCTAGTTTGGTTTGGGAAAGAAAAAGCGGAAAAAAAGAAGATAAAAGCGCGTATACAAGTACATAATTGCATCATATGTCATAGGTTCGATTCCCTACTCCCTCAATATCACTTTAATAAAAATAAACAATTTGAATCATCAAATTCGAATTTATATAGTATTTTAAAAGATATCCTTAGAAAATGGGACATATTATTGATTCATTTACATAATTTCTATTGTCTCTCCCTATCACAACTTCCATTGCATTGTACAAATATTATGTACGGGGTGATGCTACATATGTATTGAAAATCAATTAGTGGTTCCCCTTGGCCAGCAATGCAATTTGTTATCTTTATTAATTCTTTTTCTTGATGGAATTCTTTAGTTTGATTCCTTAATGAAAACGTTAACTGGATAACCCAAGGTCAGTTTGGTCATTATTGCCCTAATTTTTGTGCTTATGCCGCCCATGATCTCAAGATAAATCTCAAATAAGAAACGCTCATAGACCCACACATCCGTCTATAATACAAACATAGGCACTGTGTAGCAGTGTAGCCTCCACACAGCATACCAGAGACAGCTGATAGGTTAAGATTACAGACGGTCCATAATATAGAACCCAGTTGTTATACCGTATATAATAATCCCAATAATAAATACATGGGTTTTGTTTTTTATTAAAGCAAAAATAGTGTGCAAAAAATATAAAATTTCGATAAAATATATATACGAAATTTTAATTTCTGATTTTTACCTAAAGAAGAAGAGGCTGTTCTTCATACGTTTCGTTCCCAGTGTCGCTAAAACTAACACAAAATTACACACACCCTCTCCCTCTCTCTCTCTCTCACCCAAACCCAATTCTATCTTTCTCTCCTCGCGCAAACAAAACCCTATTTCCAGACTCAGACTCTGAGCCCCATTCTGCGTTTTGTTCCCAAAATCCCTCTTCCTTCTCTGCGTTTCGCTCTCCGCCGCTTTCACTCTGAAACTCTCTCTCTCCCTCTCTCTTTTTTCTCTCTGAAACGCATTGTTTTCAATATAGAGAGAGAATATACTGGGGGCGGTTATTAAAACGGTTACGTTTTGGCTTAATCGTCAATCACTGCTGGGCTAGGGTTAGTCCTTTCTCTCTCTTTTTCTCTCTGAAATTTTTCGTATCGTTTGTGGTCGAATAATTTTGGGGCTGTGGAAATCCTAGGTCTTCGGAGTTACATAGACGCAGAGAGGGATAATAATATATACATGTGCTAGGGTTTCTATTTTAGCGCATTTACTCGGCGTTCACTCCCAGATGTTGGCGTCGCCCTAGGGTTTTTTTTGTCTCTTTCTCTGGAGATTGAACTGTTTGATGGGTGTGAATTTTCGTGCGAGAATCGTGGGTTGTTATTCGTTGTTGCCATAGTTAACACACCTATTGCTTATCTGTCTGTTGGGCTTGAAGATGAGGGTCTTCTGAGTTTGCAATTTCCTTCTGCAAATCCATCTTTTGATTGAAGATGGATGCGTAGACAGATTTTTCCTTTTATCTTCCTTGTTTCCGTTTTTTCAATCCCATTGTGTTGTAATTCGAGACATGCACCTTGTCCTTGCCATTGCCTTTGTTTTCGTGCTCTGGGTTCACACCTTGGTGAAAATCTGTTTGTTTTTCTGAGCCCTAGTGTAGGTAGATATAGATAATATGCTATTCAGTGCGTAACAATATCGGAGCCTGTTTACTTGATTAATTGCAGTGATTCTGAAACAAGATTGGTTATTTAGGGAAAAGGAAACTTGGACTTTGCTATTCTATACAGAAGAGTACCTTTGCGGTACAGAACTGTGTGGATATTATTTTGATAAGTTTGACAGAGGCAAATTATAGTTGCCATATATAGGATAAATCAACCACTCTCATTGTAGTGGGGAGTGCATTTGGAGTAGTGGCTGCGACTTGCTTGTCGGGTTGATTGTGAAGCAATATTGGTTGTTTAGAAGAAAAAAATATTATAGTTGGAACTTAGTATCTTTGCCAAAATATAATAAATTTGGGGAAAGGGAAGAGGCGGTGAAGAAGGTGAGAAGTGTTTCTGTTGTTGTACCTGATCATGTTCACTGCTCCTTATGGAAAGAAGTGAACCCACTTTAGTTCCAGAATGGTTGAGAAGTACAGGAAGTGTTACTGGGGGTGGCAATTCAGCCCACCATTTTGCATCATCTTCTTCTCACTCAGGTATTTTTCGCTTTTTAAGTTTCATGGACCCAATGTTTTCCTTTGTTTTTTACACTATACTGCAATTTGCACACACATACATATTGTGGAGGCATCTATTTAGATGAATCTTATGGGAACATCTTTTGACTGAGATTATTTTTTTAACTCATGTGTAGATGTTACTTCTTTGGCTCATCACCTGAGAAATAGAGCCTCAAAGAGCATAAGTGATTTTGATACACCACGTTCTGCTTTTCTGCTGGACCGATCTTCCTCTTCCAATTCACGGAGGAGTTCTAGTAATGGTTCTGCAAAGCATGCTTACAGTAGTTTTAACAGAAGCCACCGTGATAAGGACCGTGATAAGGAAAAAGAGAGATTAAACTATGGAGACCATTGGGACCGTGACTGCTCTGACCCTTTGGGAAATATTTTTACCAGTAGAGTTGAGAAGGATACTTTGCGGCGTTCTCAGTCTATGGTGGCCAGGAAACAAAGTGAGCTTTTGCCCCGAAGAGCTGTTATTGACTCAAAAAGTAGTAACAGCAATCATAACAATGGCAATGGTTTGCTTTCTGGGGTTGGAGTTGGTATTCAGAAGGTTGTGTTTGATAAGGATTTTCCCTCACTCGGAACTGAAGAAAGGCCAGCTGTGCCTGATATTGGAAGAGTTCCATCCCCTGGATTTCAGAGTCTGCCTGTTGGTAGTTCAGCTTTAATTGGTGGGGAGGGATGGACGTCAGCTCTGGCAGAGGTGCCTTCTACTATCATTGCAAGCAGTAGCTCAGGATCCTTTCCTGTTCAACCAACGGTTGCTGCTACTTCGGCTTCTGGTACTTCAACTGCAATGGCTGGTCTTAACATGGCTGAAGCATTGGCGCAAGCTCCAGCACGAGCTCGCACTGCTCCTCAGGTAACTGAGGTTTTACTTGCCTCATGCTATTTGAACAGTATGTACTTCTGGCTGATCTGACATTGCATTTGCTTGTGTAGTTATCTATCAAGACCCAGAGGCTTGAGGAGTTGGCTATCAAGCAATCGAGGCAATTAATACCAGTAACCCCTTCGATGCCCAAAGCTTCAGTAAGTGAACTTAGACTGATGTTTCGTGAGCTTGTTTTAGTGCTGTTAAACTTATGACTTCTAATTAATCAGACAGGTGTTAGCAATAATATTTCGTGGGTCATTCTTGTTTTAAGTGTTTGTATAGTTTAACATCAAGAAAATAAGGAACTTAGTTAATGATGCAAGCTATCCTTTCCCTTTTATACATTTTCTTTGATGTTTGGCTAGCAGGTGCTTGTAGTAATTTGTGGATTGTTTTAATTCTCATAGGTTTTTCATCTCCCTTATTTCAATAATTTAGGTTGCTTGTTGTGACTAGTTTGGCTTTCGCGTTTGTTGATATCAAACTTCATGATCTCACCTGTTGTGCAAAGGTGTTTGGAGGATGTTAAACTGAATTTTGTATGATTGATGCTCTATTTGGGACAAGTAACTTGTGATTATCGAGCCAACCTTACAAGTTAGAAGCCGTTCATGTTTAGAGCTGTGTGTTTGGCGTACTAACAAATTCGAATAACGCTTTGCTGGAGTTTCTCTTCTTAGACTCAACTTAAGTAATAGGATTGATATATTTCAGATTAGTTGACAGTTTCTTGTTGAGCAGTCTAATTTGATTTCAAAACTAAGTAAGCAATGAGTTTTTTAGTTGATTTTGGACCTATTTACTCTCTTTCTCATTATCTGTATAGATTGTTAGGGTGATATTCAGTGATATAAATGAGGGACAGCCATTGGTGTAGATTATTTAAGTTCTTCTGATGCTCAAGAACCCTCCCTCTCTTCCTCCTTATGTTTTCCTCCCTGCTCTCCCTCTCTCCCTCTCTTGTCATTGGTCCATGTATGGTGGGGATCCTTGGGAGTAGATAGACAAGATAGTTTGTTGCAAAATTCGTTATTTACTGGCTGTCTTCTGATCAGGACTCTGCTGTTTCCTTCATGCTATTTCTTAGGCACTGAATAAAAGATGGAATACTTGTTTTGATTTCCATTGTAAGATACACAGCATGAAGAGTGTCCTATTTACTTGGGTGTTCCCTCTGGAGAGAAATGAACATTCTTCTGTATTATGGAGATTAACAATTTTCCTTATAAGGAAAACCTACACCCTTTTGCTTCAGTTATGCAATGAAGACAATTGTTGTGTTTCTGTCTTTGTTAGAAGCATACATCGTGTTCCTCATTGTTCACATCATTGGTAAAAGTGTTTTGTAATTGTTGTCTGAAGTTTTGTTGTTTACACTGTAATTGGGTCATGACTCTTTCATGCTGCTTTTTAAGTTAATCTCACTGGTCAAGTTTGATGAGTAGTACATAGATAAATGGTGAAGCTTGAAAAGTGACTTGTATGCCGTTCATTTTTCAATAAATGTATATTCATACATACACAGACAAAGAAATACACAATTAAACACTTCTGATTTTCTTATTTGCCAAAAGCCTTTATGTTTTTGAGTTCTGGTAACAATTTTCTAACATCTTTTCAGGTTCTGAATTCTTCTGACAAATCAAAGCCCAAAACAGCAGCCAGGACTGGTGAAATGAATGTACCTGCCAAGGGTGGACAACAGCAGCAACCCTCTCAATTGCACCACGCCAATCAATCTCTTCGTGGTGGTCCTGTCAAGTCCGATCCTCCAAAGACATCTCATGGGAAGTTCCTGGTTCTTAAACCAGTATGGGAAAATGGTGTCTCCTCTTCTCCGAAGGATGTTACTAGCCCCACAAATAATGCCAGCAGAGCAGCAAATAGCCCACTTGTTGTTGCTCCTGCAGTTGCATCTGCTCCTCTAAGGAGCCCCAACAACCCAAAGCTTTCGCCTGTGGAGCGCAAGGTAGCTGCCTTGGATCTGAAATCTGGATCCACATTGGAAAAGAGACCTTCTCTGTCTCAAGTCCAGAGCCGGAATGATTTTTTCAATCTCTTGAAGAAGAAAACCTCAATGAACAGTTCAATTACTCTTCCAGATTCAGGCCCTATCATTTCATCTCCCACTATGGAGAAATCAGGTGAACTAACTGGGGAAGTATTCAGTGATCCTGCGAGCCCTCACACTATTGAAAATGGTGGTGAGGTGACTGTGAATGGTGATAGCTCTGAAGAGGTTCAGAGGTTTTCTGATACTGGTCCTAGTGTGGCAGTTTATCCTGATGAGGAAGAGGCTCGTTTCCTTCGATCTCTTGGATGGGATGATAACCCTTGTGATGATGGCGGTCTTACAGAAGAAGAGATAAGTGCATTTTATGACCAGGTACAGAACTCGTTCTTCGCTCCACTAAGGGTTTTGATCTAGCTTGCTCCATGAATGGGACCACTCAAGCTAATAGAATTGGGCTGAACTAAATTTAAATAATTGTGTCCAAGGAACAAAATAGGTGCAATGCTTTGTAGTTGGTTATTATTTCTGTACTAAATTCCTTGATAAAAGAAAAATATAAATTTTTGTACTATTTAGTCTTGTTTTGAACTCTTAGTATGGATCTATGTATGTTGGTGCTTTTGGAGTTGGTTATTAATGTCACTATTTGCTATATGCCAAATAGGTTTCTGCAGTTGAACATATTCTGTTTAACAATTTGCTAATGCATTTTTATTAACTCTTTGTGTGTGCTCTTTTGTATGCAGGTCCTGAAATCAAGGCCATCTCTGAAACTTTGCCGAGGCATGCAGCCAAAGCTTTCTACGCTGTCTGAATCTCGTGCAACTAATTTGGGCGGGGCTCGCTCTGACTTGAGCTCATCTGACTCTGGGTCTGAAGCTTGATTTTCTTTTTCCTCACACATAGATCCAAGAATTTTCAATTTTTTTGATGGCAGATGGTTAGTCTCTTTTCTCTTTTGTTTTGGCAAAAAAAAAAAGAAGCTGATGAGTTTGGTATGAAAGAAGAGACTGAGTTTCGGTTACAACTCTGCATTCTGCAAATAGTGCAATAAGTTACAGGTGCCCCCGATCCTGTCTGCCTAAAATGGTTTTTGTTTAGGTTTAAAATTTTATGGGGGAGGGGTAGAGTAGGGGCTATTTTGTCTGCAGTGGAAGAAGAATGAGAAATTGATATTTTGGTGTATTTTGGTCCTTTTTCTTCCCCTTTTTTTCTTTTTTTTTCTTTTTTTCTTCAGGAGGGTTTTCATTCTACAAGAAAAAAGCTTATGATGTTTTTGGTCAATTTTACGGAAAAGAAGAAATCAAAAAGGTTTATTTTTAGTTTTAGTTCATCTTGGTATGAATGTTTTTGCATAGTCATTCGTTAATATTTTTGTTAGATCAGTTCATGTTATTATGTGATGGCCCTAATTACGTATGAATAATGGAAATAGAAGAAATGTATTCAAGATTTTATTTTCCAATCTGAGGTCGTAATTACAAAAGTGAGCAAATAAACTCGAGCGAAGTTAGATATATAATCAACAAGTTTTGCACTTGCCAACGCAAATCCACTTTAAAAACTAAAACAAATCAAACTAAACGACTGCCAAAAAAGAAAAGGAGGAGGGAAAAAAACAAAGCCTACAATTGGTAAAACCACAAACAAGAATGTTTGAAAATTGGATATTCAAAGTAGAAGAATTTGGGTGTGTTTACACAGGTGAATTAGGTAGAAGGTACTTTCAGTGCTTTTTTGGAGAATTACATCGCTTCTAACAAAGTTTTGGTGGCAAGCTTAAACCTTAAAACTCCGCTCGTTCCATATAACTTGAGTTATGTTTTATGTTCAACAAAAATACTATTAAGCACAAGTGTTTTATGCAAAAGCAGTTCAAAATTAGTTTAAAGACTCGTTTAGAACTGCTTCTCTAAGAAGCACTTATGCTTTTATAAAAACAGTGACCACAAACAAGATGCAATCATAGGACTAATTTTTTTTTTTTTGGGCCTACAAGGTCTGGCGGGAAACGCAACACTTTAGGCTTACTATATCATAAAAAAAAGGCGTTAGGTACTGCATCATTTTCCTCTTGCTTTTTAATTAAAAAAGTGGGGAGAAGGAGAGCAGAAAATACATAGAATATTATGAAGGCAAATCAAAAACAGTTTTTAAGTGTAGTTCTATAAGGTCTTCCTCCTCTCTTTCTCACCTCTCTCCCATCTCTCCTCTTTCCTATCAAGATGACAACCACCCGATTGCTTACCTGACTCTTGTTGACCACATTCCCGTCAAAACGGAATCCGACATCCGTTCTTTTGCTTGACTCGCCCAGTTTTGAACAAATTGCAACTTGGAAGTATGTTCTTGCATGCACCGATGCACAGTTGTGCTCCCTGTATCTATAGTTCGATTCAAAATATTAAGCACAAAATCTATGAACTGATTCCAACGCATGGCCCACACTTGCAGAGAGACATAACTGAACGAATCATCATGACCAAGTAATTTGATATAATCAATGTATTATCATAAGCCCTCACATCATGCTGGGTTGTCATTATATAATCAATGTATTATCATAAGCCCTCACATCATGCGGGGTTGTGAAATAACGTAAGAAAGATAAGGCAAACAAACTCAGATTTTGAAAAGGCATTGCCTTAGTTTTAGCAATTTAAACAAGACTGGTGGGACAATATAAACATTTACAACGGTGAACAATACCTTCCATATTAACTATGGAAATGTAATTCGAACCCTATCTACCATTCATCTTTCTGTCTCCTTGGTCCAACTGTTTGAGAAAGTTAAATGACACACATACACAGCCAATTCCCTCACTTGTGAAATTCAGGTTCCAAAGGAAAAGGTACCGCTCATACATCCCTACTTACTCCGGGTGAGCAGTCCAATAAATTAGCCCACTGCAGGAAACAGAAGATGAATTAAACTGGCTTGGTGACGGTATGATATGCCGAGCGGTATGGGTTACATAAAAATACATTTTAAAGCATTGAAAGCATTGTACTGCCTGCATGTACTTATGCACATTCATGTTCATGCATGTATGTGCATTCCATTACAGTGATGTCGCTCATTGATTAGGGTGCCACCTAGACAGCCAAGAGTAGGGTGCCAGAAAATATCATTATTTTACATGTTTAAGACAGAAACAAATCATATTACTTATATTTTGAGACTGACATATATTCGTCGAAAATTTATTTTATTATAACAAAGCAAACCAGATAGCCCAACAATTCAACAGGTGAAAGCAAAGCTATTGAGATGCATGAAAGCAAAGGAATTCAATGCGAAATGACTTAGAAATATATCCATGAGACACATACACACAAATAGAGTAAATGTACAACAGCAGGCTTATCAACAAGAAGTGGCCCCATTTATAATCTCAAATACATAAGGGGTGGGGTGGGGGCGGGGCTCCATAAAAGCAACTTTACCTGATCAACACAAAAACGGATTGCAAGACACCAGCAACTCCTGTCCACACTGGAGGACCAGTTGTCACAAGTGAATCCTGTATTAGCAAACCCACCGATGCCGCTAGAGATACAAAGGCTACAACATAGGCAATGAACAGCCAAAGCTTCAACCTGTTGCAATTCAGAGAAGGATTAGTTTATAACCAATTTCAGGAACAGTCAAACAGAAAGAACATCAAATTCTCATAATCCATAGCTTCAAATGATCGAATGAGACAGATCTTACAATCCTGAGCTCAATATCAAGCTCACAGATATGCATAACAATGTGTTTACAGCTTTACATTCAATGGCCAAATATTGAATCATCTAACTAATCATATCATTATCTTATTGCTTGATTTACAATGGTTAAATAATCTAAGCAAACTAAATTAAGCGAATTGCATACACAAATCAAAATGGCAGAAAATAGTCACATTGAAACTAAATAAGAAGGGCCCATGTTCAATTTGAAGCTGTGCAAAAAGGGCAAAACTACAATTGCTCACCTCCACTCGCCCTCTTCGTAAGGGGAGTAATCAATGTCTTCCTTTTTAACGCAATTGAACATCAACGCCGCCAAAGATGCAAATATGCCTGCAAAAACCACCAATCACACACACAAATAAAAAACCCTAGAAACCGAAAACATGCAAAAAGATTTATCAAATTGGGTCGGGTCGGGTCGGACCAGGGAGGTAGTGGACGAAGGAGACCTTGACGGAGCTGCAAACGACGGGCGTCGACCCAGAACCAGCAACCGACGAAAGAGCAAGAGAGAGACAGACGAGAGAGGGACGATGTCTTCCTTTTTAACGCAATTGAACATCAACGCCGCCAAAGATGCAAATATGCCTGCAAAAACCACCAATCACACACACAAATAAAAAACCCTAGAAACCGAAAACATGCAAAAAGATTTATCAAATTGGGTCGGGTCGGGTCGGACCAGGGAGGTAGTGGACGAAGGAGACCTTGACGGAGCTGCAAACGACGGCGTCGACCCAGAACCACCAACCGGCTCCGAACACGGCGCCGGCTACGCCTGGCCCGAAGATCGCCCAAAGCTCCGACACATCCATATGAAACGACGCCGCTTGAACTTGCTTCGGTGGTTATTGGTTCGCGAATACAAACCGGATCGGGTGCCGTCTACCGGACTGTTCGAAAAACCCGATGTCTGCTTTCTTTTTTCCTTTTCGTCAACTGTGAATTGCTCCACTCTGTTTCTAGTCGATGCTTGAAGCTTCCGTTTTGTCTTTTGTTTTTCTTTTTAGCTTTCTTGGGGAAATGTTAATAATTATGCTTTTAATCCTTGTATTTAGTGGAATTAATTCTTTATTACCTCATGACACTGTATAAATAAATTTGGATAAATTAAAATCTAAAATTCGGCAAAAACAAATTACTCTTAGATTTATTCCGCGAATGGCCGCGCACATGTTCTACCAAACATAAGTGTCACGCACGTGCATGTGCCACAAATATATATATTTTTTTTAAACGAAATATATCGAATAAAAATCTTTTACTAAACTACACAAGCTTGCAGCAAATGAGAAAGCCAAAGACCTCCCTCCCTCCCTACAAATCCAAATCTCCCTATACTACTCGAAGCATGTGCATCCAAACTAGATCAATCAACAATGGAAATTACTCCTCGTCATCAATTTAGTTCCTGATTTTGCTCGTCTTAAATTACAAATTATAATATAAAATTCACGTGTTTTTTTTAATGTGTCTTAATACACGAATGATAAAAGCGTGAATTATAATAATTTCAATATTGATTGACCAACAAAAAAATCAATATCAATATGTAACATAATTTGATTTGATTGCTCAAAACATATATTAAGAAGAATTTGAATATCAATTCATAGATTTTCATCTCTTCATTCATGTGACTTGGACTAAAACTTATCGATACTAATAATTATATTGTGATTCATAAAGTCTATTGTAGCCTTGTTTAGTTAATCCACATTGTATATGCACTCAAACACATTCAACTCACTAACAATCAAATTTTGACACGTGATTTTGTGATTTTAATTAAGTTCGTCTTGTGTGTGCAACTATTACTTTTGTTATTATTATCTTCTATTTGTTTCCAATTTAGAATGTGTTTAAAAGTTGAGATATTGCGTTTGTTTGCATCTGCCTTTTATCATAACTTGATGTTCATTTTCAAGTTCTTATATAGTAACGACTTTAAAAAGTTTTAGATTAATTTGACATATTGCGGTTGTGTTTCATCATAACTTTATTATTATTATTATTATTTGGTAAAGACTTGATTTTCTTTTTCGAGTTCATATATAGTAAGGGCTTTAAAACATTTGAGATTAATTTGAGATATTGTGTGTGTTCACATTTGCCTTTTATCATAACTTAATTTTTGTTTTCGAGTTCTTATATAGTAAGGACTTTAAAACATTTTAGATTAATTTATATTAAAGCTTGTTGTATGTTTTTCGTTTAATGGTTGTATTAATGACTATTTAAATTTTATTGAAAAAGAATGATACTCAAAATTATTTTTAGTTTTAATTTATATTATATTTTCCGATAAATCATTAAGTAATTATTCTCTAAGTGGAGACAATACCATATCAACATATAGACGTAATTTTTAATATTTGTGAGTCTCGTATGCTCCAAACCATTACCATTTTCTTGATAAAATAGATAAGTGAATGAAATTGTGTA